TACCACGACGACCAGGACGACGAGACGAAGTGATCGCCGTCGAGATCGCCGCCGGACTCCGCCGCACGCGTCGTCACGCGCCACTGGGAGGTTCCAGCAGCTGAAGCTCAATCGCGCGCGTGTGAGCGCGTGAGACCTCCGATTTCTGATCGGTCAATGCCGTTGACTTTGCCGTGACATCAGCTTTCTGGATTGGTCAAGTTCGTTCGATTCCTAGAAGATTTGATTTGCGGTCAACTGTTCGGGCCAGCCAGATCTACATAAATTTTAAGCAGTAAGTTTTCTTCATCAAACCTTTAGATCCGCTGCGCATAGGTTTATGTTGAATGTTTGTCCGTGATTTGTGCATATCGAGATCCTCATGGGTTCCAACAATTTGTATCAGAGCTTGAGGTTAATCCGTTATGTACAAGATCCGGATTAAACTGCTTATATTGTCTATGTGTGCTCAAGCGCAACCATATATATTGGATTATATGCATAACTTGATTTTGTAGAAAATAGTTAATCCACTATTATGGCCACCCTTTTATGTGCTTGTGCTTAATTGATGGTTGGTTGTATGGTTTAAATTTGTTTTCAAAGCCTCGGGATTGTCGAGGAATTATGGATGAATGCTTGTATTAATTGCCCGGGGGTTGACCGGATAGTTTAATTAATTAGTAGAAGGCATGTACATCCACTCGTTGGATCTAGGAATCGATTTATGTAATTTTGTAAATTATATTTTTCGTATTGTGATCGACCGTTGGAGACCGGGCCTTCACAAAGATCCAAAGAGACTCGACAAAGCAAGGAAAAAACCGGAGCTGGGAGCCAAGGCTGGTTGGCGCGGCTGCAGCTTCTACTGGTGGAGGTTTTGTGGAACTTGCAGTACAAGTCAACCGGGATTCTACTGCAGTTGGAGTTCCAGTTGGTTTAGGACAGAAATCCTAATCCAATGAGAATAAATATTTAATTGGCCATAATAGTGGATATTTATTTATGGCATTAATTATTTATTTGTTTATTTATGCATGAGAATAATTGTTGCCTTGTGTACATAGAATTATTTAGAATTGCATATATATATATATATATATATTTCAAAAATCCTCATTTAAAATACTAAGTTGAGAAGGATATTTAAAGTTAAGATAATTTTAAATTCCTAAGGCCTCCATTTCTAATTGTTGGTAAATCAATTAATTGATAGTGTGGGCTTCCCCGAGGATGACATTACTTGAAAATTAATTCAAGGATAATTACCAGAACGAATTTCTAAATTTAGACGGTTAGAGGAAATCGAATGAGAGCGTACGGGTCACCCCGAGGTGAACGTATAATCGATTTTGACGACCTTAGGACCGAGAAATGGGATTCACTTAGAATGCGATTCATTTCCTAACCCCCGAGGGGTCCCTGATTTTTATTGGATGCCCAAAAGGTGACCGATTATTAATTTCGTTCGTCATGAAATTGGTTTTGACTT